AACTGTGGAGAACTATGGCAACCTCTCTTGAACTATGGGCCAAGAAGAAGTTAAATTTTTTGGCTCTTTCAGTTTTAAAATTAAATAATTCTAAACTATGGCGAACTATGGCGACCTCTTTTGAACCAAGAAGACAGTTAAAGAAGAAGACCAAGAAGAAGTTAAATTTTCTGACCATTAAAGTTTAAAAATTAAATAAATCAAAACTATGGGCAAACTATTGCGAACTATAGCGACCTCTCTTGAACTATAGGCCAAGAAGAAGTTAAATTTTCTGGCCATTAAAGATTAAAAATTAAATAAATCTAAACTATAGTCAAACTGTGGCGACCTCTCTTGAACTATAGGCCAAGAACCCTATCAAAAAAATACACGAGTAAATATGCGTGTAATTTGCAAGGATTCCGCGAATAAATACACAACTCATTTTTGGCCCTTGTAAGCGTGTATTTTTGCACACATTTTAAACTTAAAAATTTTTATTCGAAATTACATTTTTGTGCGTGTATTTACGCGAGTATTCTGGTCTAATTTTTTTCTCAATTTTACCAATTTTCGTGTATTTTTGAATAAATTTTCCAATTGAAAAATCTGCTCAACGTTCCAACTGTGCGTGAATTAACGCGACTATTTTTGTGTTGAAATACTGATTATCAATATCACAATTTGGCGTGTATTTTTGCATAAATTACAAATTTGGAATTTCCGATGTAAGTTCCGTCTGTGCGTGTATTTACGCGACTATTTTTGTGTTGAAATATTTATTATCAATATCGCCATTTGACGTGTATTTTTGCATAAATTACAAATTTGGAACTTCCGATGTAAGTTCCGTCTGTGTGTGTATTTACGCGAGTATTCTAGTCTGAATTTTTTTTCAATTTTACCAATTTTCGTGTATTTTTGAATAAATTTTGCAATTGGCAAATTTGCTCAAAGTTCCAACTGTGCGTGTATTTACGCGACTATTTTGTGTTGAAATATTTATTATCAATATCGCCATTTGACGTGTATTTTTGCATAAATTACAAATTTGGAATTTCCGATGTAAGTTCCGTCTGTGCGTGTATTTACGCGAGTATTCTGGTCTGAATTTTTTTTTCAATTTTACCAATTTTCGTGTATTTTTGAATAAATTTTCCTATTGAAAAATCTGCCCAAAGTTCCATCTGTGCGTGTATTTACGCGACTATTTTTGTGTGGAAATATTTATTGTCAATATCGCCATTTGACGTGTATATTTGCATAAATTACAAATTTGGAATTTCCGATGTAAGTTCCGTCTGCGCGTGTATTTACGCGAGTATTTTTGTGTTGAAATTTTTTTTATCAATATCACAATTTGACGTGTATTTATGCACAAAATAACAAATTTTGAATTTTCGATGTAAGTTCCGTCTGTGCGTGTATTTACGCGACTATTTTTGTGTTGAAATATTTATTATCAATATCGCCATTTGACGTGTATTTTTGCAAAAATTACAAATTTGGAATTTTCGATGTAAGTTCCGTCTGTGCCTGTATTTACGCGAGAATTCTGGTCTCAAATTTTTTTCTTCAATTTTACCAATTTTCGTGTATTAGTGAATAAATTTTCCAATTGGAAAATTTCCGATGTAAGATCCAACTATGCGTGTATTTACGCGACTATTTTTGTGTTGAAATATTTATTAGCAATATCACAATTTGACGTGTATTTTTGCATAAATTACAAATTTGGAATTTTCGATGTATGTTCCGTCTGTACGTGTATTTACGCGACTATTTTTGTGTTGAAATATTTATTATCAATATCGCCATTTGACGTGTACTTTTGCATAAATTACAAATTTGGAATTTTCGATGTAAGTTCCGTCTGTGCGTGTATTTACGGGACTATTTTTGTGTTAAAATATTGATTATCAATATCGCCATTTGACGTGTATTTTTGCATAAATTACAAATTTGGAATTTCCGATGTAAGTTCCGTCTGTGCGTGTATTTACGCGAGTATTTTTGTGTTGAAATTTTTATTATCAATATCACAATTTGACGTGTATTTATGCATAAATTACAAATTTGGAATTTTCGATGTAAGTTCCGTCTGTGCGTGTATTTTCGCAACTATTTTTGTGTTGTAATATTTATTATCAATATCGCCATTTGACGTGTACTTTTGCATAAATTACAAATTTGGAATTTCCGATGTAAGTTCCGTCTGTGCGTGTATTTACGCGACTATTTTGTGTTGAAATATTTATTATCAATATCGCCATTTGACGTGTATTTTTGCAAAAATTACAAATTTGGAATTTTCGATGTAAGTTCCGTCTGTGCCTGTATTTACGCGAGAATTCTGGTCTCAAATTTTTTTCTTCAATTTTACCAATTTTCGTGTATTAGTGAATAAATTTTCCAATTGGAAAATTTCCGATGTAAGTTCCGTCTGTGCGTGTATTTACGCGAGTATTTTTGTGTTGAAATATTTATTAGCAATATCACAATTTGACGTGTATTTTTGCATCAATTACAAATTTGGAATTTTCGATGTATGTTCCGTCTGTGCGTGTATTTACGCGACTATTTTTGTGTTGAAATATTTATTATCAATATCGCCATTTGACGTGTACTTTTGCATAAATTGCAAATTTGGAATTTCCGATGTAAGTTCCGTCTGTGCGTGTATTTACGCGACTATTTTGTGTTGAAATATTTATTATCAATATCGCCATTTGACGTGTACTTTTGCATAAATTGCAAATTTGGAATTTCCGATGTAAGTACCGTCTGTTTCGTGTATTTACGCGACTATTTTGTGTTGAAATATTTATTATCAATATCGCCATTTGACGTATCTTTTTGGATAAATTACAAATTTGGAATTTTCGATGTAAGTTCCGTCTGTGCGTGTATTTACGGGACTATTTTTGTGTTGTAATATTTATTATCAATATCGCCATTTGACTTGTATTTTTGCAAAAATTACAAATTTGGAATTTTCGATGTAAGTTCCGTCTGTGCCTGTATTTACGCGAGAATTCTGGTCTCAAATTTTTTTCTTCAATTTTACCAATTTTCGTGTATTAGTGAATAAATTTTCCAATTGGAAAATTTCCGATGTAAGATCCAACTATGCGTGTATTTACGCGACTATTTTTGTGTTGAAATATTTATTAGCAATATCACAATTTGACGTGTATTTTTGCATAAATTACAAATTTGGAATTTTCGATGTATGTTCCGTCTGTGCGTGTATTTACGCAACTATTTTCGTGTTGCAATATTTTTTATCAATTTCACCATTTTGCATTTATTTTTGCTTAAATTTTAAATTTGGAAATTTCGATGTAAGTTGCTTTTGCACGTGTATTTACGCGAGTATTGAAGTCACAAAATAATTTTTTTAATTTTTTAATTTTGCGTGTATTTTTGAATAAATTTTGGAACTGGAAATTTAGATGTAAGTTTCGTTTGTGCGTGTATTTTAAAGAGTATTTTAGTCTTATAATAATTTTTATAAGTTGTATAATTATGTGTGTTTTTTTAAATACATTTTAGACATCGAAGATTTGTCCTAAATTGCGTTTGTGTTCTGACATTATATATAAACTCCCCAGGCCTCTTATATTATTTTTAATATAATTTGTTAATAAATGTTTTTTTGTATTAAGAATAAAAATGCAACGGTGAATATTTTATAATCGATTTGTTTTATTTGTTTTTATATGATATTGAAATTAAAACAAATATATCCTTAAAATCCAATGTCGTATGTCTCTAGTAATTAATGACATGGATCAAACATAACCTTAAATTTGAAGGACATATGTCAAGATACTAAAAAAGGTTTTAATTTTACTATTTCAATATTAGAATTACAATATAGTTTATGAAGTTATTTGTTTGCGAAATTTTTGAATCAGATTGAAGTTACTTTTTACCTGATTTTTCAGTTTAGAAGGAACATTTTGTAATTGAAATTGCTCTGTTTTATCATTAACAACGTTTTTCTTGACATGGTATCCCCCTTTTTAACATTTGTTTATACTTATTTTTAGTCAAGTTTTTGTGAGTATTTCTATTCATGTACTTTCGGAAACAAATAGGTATAGTCTTATATATCTTAATTTGATTAATTATTGAATTTTAACAATTATTGTCAAAAACCACCCTTCCATGTAATCAATTTAGTGACAGTAAATTCTTTGTACAGAAAAAGTTTTAATTAAACTGATAACAGTAGACATGATACATTTGCAATATTAATAGTAGCAGTCTTAATTGGAATGAAAATACATATTTTTAAATGTCTGTAATTCTTTCTCTTCGTGTGTGTTCTAATTAAAATTTTTTTGTGCATTCCTTGTTGTCAATAACTATTTTTAACAAAAAAAAACACTAAAAAAATAATAATCAAACAAATATTTATTCAGTTGCAAAATATTCTAAAAAAACTGTTTATCTTTCAATATGCAGCATTACATTAAGTCTGTTAAAGTAAAAAATAAACTAAAATGAATTTTGTGAGTGGACAAGGAAAGACAAAAATTCACAAAAGTACCAAAAAAATGTGAGTTTTATTCTTCTTCAAAATTACAATATTTTACTGACAAAGTTTAACATTTGAAACAAGTACTTACTTGCCACTTGGCGTTGAAAAGAAAAGACCGGCAACGGGAGAACAAACACTTCGACTTATTGCTTCCGATGATTAGTTATAACTGCCTGGTACGTCGTAGTTCAAAGCCATCCCTTCCCTTTTTTTTGCAATGTGAAGGCGTTTGTGAGTTGTGGAAGGGCGTATGGGACGCTAGTGAGAGAGAGGGTAAAGCGAAAACGAAGTGGCGGCCAAATTCAAATTGCGAAGGTAGAAAAGGAAACAAAACTTTAAATTCGTTGAAAGGAAACATAGTCAAATTATTAACATACCGCCCGCCTCGTTTGAGAAACGAAATAAGAAGATAATGATGCGCCGCCCGCCTTGATACAATTATTGGAAATGTGCATAAGAGTGCACTCTTTTACATAGTAGTTGGTAGTAAGCATAGTTTTGCAATGGGACGAGTGTATATTCCAGATGCAGTGCGGATAGAGGCAGAACGAACAAGCCCATCACTGCCAGGAAAGACTTTGATAATTCTACCAAGAGGCCAACTTCCCCTTTTGAGCAATGAGGAATCGAGAATTAGCACTAAGTCGTTTGTTTGTAAATTTTGTTTCTTAACTGCCCATTTATTTCTTTGCTGTAGTGTATGAATATAGTCCCGAGACCATCTATTCCAAAAAGTGTCCCTTAATGCCTTAACTAGACGCCAACGAGTAATGTAGTCCAAATTCTCATTTATGGTTAATGCTTCAGGAAATGAATACAGAGCTCTGCCAAGTAAAGCGTGATTCGGGGTGAGAGCATCAATATCTTCAGGATCACCAGTGATTGGAAGCAAAGGGCGAGAATTCATACACGCTTCAATTTCCACAACCAATGTGGATAACTCTTCATATGTAAGAGGACGTGTCCCAATAGTCTTCTTCAGGTGTGACTTTGCTGTTTTGATGTTGGCCTCCCACAGTCCGCCGAAGTGTGGTGCTGAAGGTGGTATGAATTTCCATTTTATACCTCGGTTTGCTAATGTGTCTTCAACAACATTCCAATCGACATTGGCGTCACGCAACATCCAACGAAGTTCTGCATCGGCTCCGTGAAAAGTGGTGGCATTGTCACTCCATATTTCACAAGGTGTTCCACGACGGCCGATGAGACGCTGGAGCGCACCAAGAAATGATTGTGTAGTAAGATCCCCAACCACTTCGAGGTGCACAGCTTTCGAGCTTAGACATACGAACAAGGCTACATAACCTTTAGTAGTTCGAGCACCTCTGCCGGTAGTCCGTTTGATGGGGAAAGGACCTGTATAATCTACGCCCAATTTTTCAAACGGATAACTGGCGGTTACTCTTTCAGAAGGAAGATTTCCCATTAGCTGCTCGGATCGCTGAGCTCTTTGCCGGGCACATGTCACACATTTTCGTATGTGAGCTTTGACTCGTACTCGGCCGCGAATGATCCATGCTCGCTTAACAGTGAGCGAGTAAGTTAATTGGAATCCACCGTGCAAGGCTGTCTTATGAGCCCATTGGATTATTAATTCTGCTAGTGGGCTGTTGCCGTGCAAGATAACCGGATGACGATGGTCATAAGGCAAAGAAGAATTTGTGAGTCGGCCGCCAACTCTCAATATCCCCTTTTGATCGATAAAAGGGTTTAATGGCAAAAGAGGACTTTGTCGCGGCCGATTCCCTTTTCGTAAGCTTTCCAATTCCTTTTCAAAACTACAGTTCTGACTAAGATAAACGCATGCGAGAAACGCTTGATTTATTTCGTCAGAAGTTAATCGCAGTCGAAGGAGTTCAGTACGTTCTAATGTTGGTTTTAAAAGAAGTTGGAATCTTAGACATCTAGCTATAACTCTTAATAAACGAGTCAAACTAGAAAAGCGAGTTATAATAGCGTTGTCTTGATGCAAAAGGAGGATTTGAAGAGAGGTCGAGGGCGTGATGGTTTCTTTAGATAGTTTTATCTGCGATTTTGGAAAAGTTGGCCAAGTCGTGGAGTCTTTGGAAAGCCAATCAGGGCCTTGCCACCACAAATTCGAATCGATCAGAGATCGAGCATCCACGCCGCGACTAGCAATGTCAGCGGGATTATCTTTACCTGGAGTATACCGCCAAGACGCCTTAGGAAGGTTTCGTTGGATGTACGACACGCGATTAGCGACGTAAACTGGCCATCGTGAAGGATCATCTGCCTTTATCCAACTGAGCGCATTAAGGGAATCAGACCAGGCGTAGGCAGCTTTAATAGAAATTTCTAATTCTGTGAGCACATGATTTAGCAACTTAACCGTTAGTTGGGCTGCGCATAATTCCAACCTTGGAATTGTAATGGTTTTAACAGGGGCGACGCGAGTCTTTGCTGTTAAAAGTTGCGAATGATGCTTTCCTTCTGGTGTGGTCACGCGGATGTAGATAGCTGAAGCGAAAGCATGTTTGCTAGCATCGCCAAATCCGTGAATTTCGGCTTCATCACCAGGACGTAAGCGAATCCAGCGTGGAAGACGAATATTTTTAATTTCGAATAAACTAGATTGTATTGATGACCATTTTTTTAACAGTGGGTTTGAGAGAGGTGTATCCCAATCAATTTTAGCCTTCCAGAGTTCCTGCATTAGGATCTTTGTTACGATGATGACAGGGCTTAGCCAACCATCTGGGTCAAATAGTTTAGAGATTGCGGCTAAAACTCTTCGTTTCGTGGGAACATTCCTTTGATCAATTATTGGTTCTCTGAACCTAAATTCGTCGTGGATTGGATCCCATGCAATTCCCAGGGCGGTGATGGGATTTTCTGTTTTAAAATGCAACCAGGTTGGACGCAGACAGTCATCTTCGGGAAGATTGCTTAACAGGGACGGGCAATTGGTAACCCATTTCTTCAAATGCATTCCGGCTGATTTTAAGAGGCTAATTAATTCATCACGAAGTTGAATGGCTGAGAGCTCATCATTATCTCCGGTAAATATGTCATCGACATAAATATTATCGCGTATAACTTTTGCTGCTTTAGGATACTTCTGTCCCTCATCTGCAGCTAACTGGTGCAATGTCCTAATGGCTAAATAAGGGGCACAGGACGTGCCATATGTTAAAGTAAGGAGTTGGAAGTGATCAACATCCTCAAGACCTGGTTGCTGCCAAACAATGCGCTGAAGGTCAATGTCTCTTTCCTCCACCAGAATCTGACGATACATCATTTCGATGTCTGCAGAAAATACCACTCGATGAAGTCTCCATCGCATCAGTACTGTTGAGAGATTATTTTGCAGTTTCGGGCCTGTATAAAATATTTGATTCAATTTTATACCCGATGAGGTTCTATCTGATGCGTTAAAGACTACGCGAACTTTGTTTTGACCATCTGCATTTCGCCAAACTGCGTGATGAGGAATATAACAGATGGATTTTGTTTTGTCGGAATGGATTGAAGGAGAGAGAAGACGCATGTGACCTCGTGATATGTATTCAGACATGAAGCGAGAGTATACAAGCCTTTAATACATTATCGTTTTTCCATTTATTATGCAAAGCATTGAGCATTTGTCTGGCTCTCGGTAGTGATTCTCCGAGTGTTGATAGTGCGTTCGGCCGTATAGGAAGTCGAACGCTGTAACGACCTGAAATGTGACGTTGACAACCGTCAATAAATAATCGCTCACATTCTTGATCCTCAATGGATTTTATCGGAGGGCCGCTTATATCTTCTTGTTCCCAGAAGCGTTTTAGTAGTTCATTTAAATTGTCATCGTGGTGAGTGTTCAGGGTCAGTATTGTGTTTGATTGGGTAAATTTATTTGGAACCTCTGCTGAACCGGTGACAACCCACCCGAACACAGTCCGAAGTGCGACTGGTGCACTTTGATGACCTTTACGAATTCCATCGAGGAGTAAAGTTCCGTAAACATCCGCGCCTAAGATTATATCAATGGGACGAGGTTCGGTAAAGGCAGGATCAGCTAAGTTGAGGTTCTGAATGTGAGGCCATGTCTGTAGAGGAACCTTTCGCGTCGGAGCGATTATACCGAATTTTCGTAGAACTAGAGCATTTAATTTAATAGGTAGTGAACAATTTAAAGGGATAAGTTCAAGGACAACACGACCGTGTGCTGCTTCAACTGATTTGTTTCCTAAGGAACTGATCGAGACTTTTACTGGAGTCACAGGAAGATTTAAACGACGTACTAGGGAACGTGAAACAAAGCTGGCTTCAGAGCCAGGATCAAGTAGGGCTCGAGCATTTAATTGGTTTTGATTCGAAGCCTTGAGAGTGACTTTGGCAGTTGCGAGAAGTACGAGTCATGATGAAGAGGCTGACGAATTTGGGTTCAAAGTGTCTGAGGGTTGTGAGGCGAGGGGGGACGAGGCGGGACTGGTAGCCTTTTTTTGGGTGGTGAGAAAGGTGCTTTTTCAGAATTCGATCTTTTGCGGACCATAGCATCATGAAGAGTTGTATGATGCGATGCTTCGCATATCCGACAGCGAGATCTGGATGGACAATTGTTATAATTATGGTTTGAGTGTAAACAATTGAAGCATAGCTTCAACTTAGCAGCAGTTTGACGGCGGTTTAAAGAATTAGATTTTTTCCATTCAGGGCAATGACCAATATAATGCTGGTTTTGGCAAGCAGCACAATTTTGATCTGTGGATGTAGCTAGAAGTTTTAATTTGCTTGGGTAATTGGGATGATCGTTGCGACTTGAGCGCTTAGATGAAGTGATTTCCCTATGAGGAATTAATGCTTCAGTTGCTTTGAGAGCGCTAATGCGTTGTTGTAAAAACGCTTTAATATCAGGAAAGGTCGCTATCGTATCATTGTCTCCTAACTGATTTTCCCAGTCACGTCGAGTAATGGGATCCATACTACGAACAGTTAGAAAAATGAACCAGTCATCCCAATGCTCTACGGGACGACCGATGGTTCGTAAGGAATCTATTCGTCTTGTGAGGTTATCAAGAATTTGCTGAAGACCGGCAGCGCTTTCCTCTTTCATTTTTGAAAGAGAAGTTAGGCCTAGAAGATGGTTGCATATTAGGAGTCGCTTATTATTATAGCGACATAGAAGAAGATTCCACGCAATATTGTAGTTGGAATCTGTTATTGCGATTGCATCAAGAGCAGCCTTTGCTTCTCCTTGAACTAATCCTTTCAAGTAATAAAGTTTTTGGACAGGTTTTAACGAGGGGTCATTGTGTACAATTGATTGAAAGAGGTCCCTAAAGGTTTCCCAATCATCACCATTACCAGAGAAGGGTGGGAGGTTTATCTTTGGCAAGTGTGTTGGGAGAGTGGGACGAGATTGTGTTTGTAGTTGAATAGGATTACCTATCGATCTTTCAATGATGGCTTGGGCATCATAAATGAAGCTTAAAGCTTGTGTGAAATATGATTCAACATGCTGAAAGTGATTATCAGAAAAATATGTCTCACCTTCGATTGATTCCTTACATACCAGCTTCAAGTGATTTTCTTGAAATGTTGAGAAGTAAGATTTAAGGAGCTCTGTTTGGCTACGCAGAAACCCAATGGACAGATTCTCTTTCGGCGTTGAGATCATGGTGTCATGCAGGTTAATAATTGCATGTCGCAAGGTCTCTTGTCCTTTAAGTAGCGTTTCTGTCTTCATGTTGATAGAATGGAAAAAGGCACTGAACGATGAATTATAACTTTAAATGAGAATAAGGCTGAGCACGAAAAAGTTGTAACTTGTTAAGCTGTGAAACAAAGAAATGTCAAGGAATGCTCGAGACTGCAGCGCGGCAGCAATGGTAAGTATAAATTATCAAGACCTGATTGAGGCGGCTGCAGCACGGCAGCAGAAAATGAGTGTGAATTATCAAGCCTGCTCGAGGCGGCTGCAGCACGGCAGCAATTGTAAATATGATTTATCAAAGCCTGCTCGAGGCGGCTGCAGCACGGCAGCAGAAAGTAAGTAAGAATTATCAAGCCTGCTCGAGGCGGCTGCAGCACGGCAGCACAAGGTAAGCAATAACCATCAAGCCTGCTCGAGGCGGCTGCAGCAGGGCAGCAACTAAATAGTACATTTGAATTATCTGATTTATCTAATATGGAATTATTGTCTCTCCCTTATCCGGCTCGAAGGACCAAAAAATGTTAAAGTAAAAAATAAACTAAAATGAATTTTGTGTGTGGACAAGGAAAGACAAAAATTCATAAAAGTACCAAAAAAAATGTGAGTTTTATTCTTCTTCAAAATTACAATATTTTACTGACAAAGTTTAACATTTGAAACAAGTACTTACTTGCCACTTGGCGTTGAAAAGAAAAGACCGGCAACGGGAGAACAAACACTTCGACTTATTGCTTCCGATGATTAGTTATAACTGCCTGGTACGTCGTAGTTCAAAGCCATCCCTTTCCTTTTTTTTGCAATGTGAAGGCGTTTGTGAGTTGTGGAAGGGCGTATGGGACGCTAGTGAGAGAGAGGGTAAAGCGAAAACGAAGTGGCGGCCAAATTCAAATTGCGAAGGTAGAAAAGGAAACAAAACTTTAAATTCGTTGAAAGGAAACATAGTCAAATTATTAATAAAGTCAAAGATCTAAAAAAGGGCCATCATCACTGTGGGCGTGATTTTTTGAAAAAATTCAAGTGATTTGGCTCAAATAGGGTTCAAAATACTCAAGACATTTGCTGCTTTCGCCCATGTAAAAAAATTTTTCTTGAATATCTAGAGTCAAGTCTGGCGCAATCAAAATAACGTCTAACATCAATAATCTGCCAGGATTAGCTTGGCCCAATTCTAGTGCTATACAGCCACTAGTCAAACCCTGGTTAGAGACAGAGGTCTGTAAAGTCCCGACTGACCCTAAATTGGTGCTGGCCAGAAGGTCTAGATAACTCAAATTTTGATTTTTCAATATCTAAACATTGTCAAGCGATGCTAATCTGGAATGTCAGGTCAGAACAGGATTAGGTACTGTTTCCGTAATATCTAAACTGTTTCTAGCGATATTGATATGGAAGGTCTCTCCTGAACAAGCACTGATGTTCGCCAGAAGTAATAGATAATTACAATTTTTATTTTGAAATATCTAGACTGTATCTGGCTATGTTATGTAAATTCTAGTCAGATCCAGCTCTAGTGCTGGCCAGAAGTAATAGATGATTAAAATTTTAATTTTGTAATTTCTATACTGCGACTAGCGGTGCTTGTTAGGAAAGTCATGTCAGACCCAGAACTGGGGCTAGTTGGAAATAGTAGATAATTAAAATTTTTTAATTTTGTAATATCTAAACTGTGACGGACGATGCAGGTCTATTCTGTGGGGGCCTGTTCTCGTGAGGGAGGGACCGTCCGAAAGTTAGGGGAAATTGAATGGTGAGGATGCGACCTTTGGCGGGCAGAAATGACCACCACTAGAAGCGGAGGAGTTAGGTGCTCGGGTAAATTCAACCGAGAAACGGCCCCTCCATTTTCTTGAAGGGCGAGGAATCTGGAGTAAGGAGGCGCGAGTCTTCTAGCCCCCCCAATCCAAGATGTCTTCGCCGTGTCGATGGATGAATGGTAAACGGGTTACCAAATTCATCTCGCTCCTGCGGAGGGTTGGCGCAGGTGTGGGTTAGCTTTCAGTCTTGCACATGTTTAGCACTCGTAAAGTTCGGGTGGCGACTGTGCCGGGCTGGGTAATCTGTGGTCGCTCTGGCGTTCTGCGGGGTCGTGATGAAGGTATCGCAAACAGAGACTCTGAGACACCAGACGAAATCTCAGTAGTATTTAGTCTTATCCTGGCATAAGGTGCTCTGTGAGGATGGACCTTCTGTTCCCCTGTACTCGTGGGATCTATATGAATACTACAGAGAACAAAAACAAAAGTGTTTCGCTCGAGAATACCGAACACTCTTCGGAGAGTCGGGTTTCAGGGCCGGAGATTTTGCCGCAGGAAGAAAGGGCACCTTTAACGGTACCTTCAACCTCGGCAATTTCGCCTCACAACGAAATGGAACCTGAAAGGAAACCATTAAGTTCTGAGGCTCTGACGCAAAACAGTTCGGCACCGTCCCATGGTTCCACTGTTCCTGTGGTTGAAGACCTAATGGCGAGCTTATCCGTTAAGGGTAAAAAGCTCAGTGGCAGCGCAAAAAGAAGGCTGAAGAGGCTTAGGGAGCAGAACTGGCAAGGGTCTCAACCTGCTTCTTGCTCGACTTCTATGCCTGTTAAAAGCAAAGCTGGGTCTGTCGGTCAGGACACGAAAAAGCGTCCGCGCCGACAAGACTCAGACGCTTCTCCACAACAGGAGAAGAGAAGGAGGCAAGGACCCCTGTTAGGAACCGCCTTTTTCTCTGAAGTAGCAAGATCGTCTCTTTCGGGAGCGATTATTGCGAAGGTTTCCGAGGGTCAGTCCTGAACTTGACAGGCCACGGAATTCAATGTTTGCAGATTAACTTGCATCACTGTAAAAGCGCAACGGCAATTCTAGCCAAGAGCTTGACAGCGATGCATACAGCTATTACCTTTATTCAAGAACCTTGGGTTTACAAAGGTAAGATTAGAGGTTTAAGTAACTGTGGGGAGTTAGTGAGTTCACCACAGGAATTGGCACCTAGGGCGTGTATCGCCTATAAAGGAGTAAATGCGTTTCCTCTTTTAGAGTTAACTAGTCGAGATCTGGCAGTTATAAAAGTCATGTAAAGAGATAAAAATGGAAGTAACAAAGAGGTGATTGTTGCCTCTGGTTACTTTCCGGGATCAGAAAATGAACCTTCACCACCAGAAGAAGTGTTAAGACTGGTGGAGTACTGTCATCAGGAGGGACTTTTTCTGATTCTGGGATGTGATGCCAACGCACACAATGTTATTTGGGGTAGTACAGACATCAATGATAAGGGTGTGAAACTTCTAGACTTTCTAGTTGATTCAGACCTAGATTTCCTTAATCAGGGAAACGAGACTACCTTTGTTATTAAAAACATGAGGGAGGTTTTGGATATTACTATCTGTTCGAGGTCATTGTGGGAGGAAGTGCAAGATTGGAAAGTGTCAGATGAAGACTCACTTTCAGACCACATACTTATAGCGTTCAGAATAGAGTCAGCTGCTCGTGAATTTAGGTGGGGTCGTAATCCTAGAAGTACCAATTGGTCTTCATATCGTGAAGACCTTAGGGACTCCCTGGAATGCTTTCCTACCAGTTATGGTACAGAAGAGGAGTTGGAACTTGCATCAAATTTTCTGCAGGATTCAATTATTTCCGCTTTTGAGAGAAACTGTAACCCAAAAAGACTTGAAACTAGCAGGAAAACTACTTGGTGGAATGCAGAGTTGGAAAGTCTTAGGGGT